CTTGAACTTCCGCACATTTGTGCAAAGTTCTATGTCGAAAACAGACAGACAGAGACAACCAATAAAGGTATGAAGAACACAATATTCAGCGAAGAAGAGACTCTTTTCGACAACGAATTTATTATCAAGCTGTACAATCGTATATCTTTGGTTTTTAAGAAATTATATCTGGTAAGGGAATTAGGTCAAAGGTGTGAATACATGAAATAATAATAACAGTAGTATGAAATACAATTAAAATATTTGTGATTATAATCATGGTTTAATGTCAAGTGGCCAAATAATTAATGTTTTATATAGAATAATACGTAAGATATATAGAGTGTTAGAAAGGGGTGCATAATTATAGGATTAATAGGCTAATATGAAGTGTTACATAACATGGTGTGAAATTTGATAAGATAGAATTTAATATTGTAAAACTAAAAAAAAATATAAATTAATTTTGGTTTTAGAATGACAATTGGGTCACGTGGAAACATTTCAGAGTGAGAATAGTAATAACAATACTGATAATAATAATAATAATCGTAGTAATAAGGTAAAAGTACATAGAATAACTAAATAAATAAAATAAATAAATGTCTATCCCTCTACGGCCAAGGCAGAAGTAGGGATTATACATACTTTTTTGTACACAAAGGTCTGGCTGGCTTAAAGTCATGAATTGCCAAGGCCTCAGCTGTCTTTAAAAGTCTGTAACGAAGAAAACGCAGTCGGCAAGTTAGCATGGATTCTATATATGATCTTGAGATCATAGTCAGGGCTGATCGAGTGACAGAAGTCGATCAGGTGTTCCAGAATAGAGCTTCGCACACATTTCCTTTCTCCCTTGTAAAATCAAGCTGGAATATGTTCTCGTATCCGTTTGGAAAGCGCCAATGTACCTTGATCCACAAGAGCAGGTGAATTGATAGTTTTACATGGAGGCGGCCAGATGGGGAGCTTATCTTTTACAGAGGTAGAGAACAATTTGCGGCTCATGTACGTCATATGTAATTTTACTGCAAAGAACGTCTTACTGACTGATTTAAAGAGACGATTTTTGAGCATATCTGAAGTATGATCACCTATGAATTCCAAGTTCATGAATAAGGTTTTTTTTGGAACTGAATCGGTGACCAGTTTAGACTGCTTATCATTCCTGTTGCTGTCAATAAATCGGTTAGGGTAACCGTTTTCTGCAAGGGTGACTTTTAAGATGTCAAGTTCTGAGTCAACGCAATCAAAACTACAAATTTTCCTTATCCTAAAGCAGAGCAAATGAATTTCCTGGAGATAGGTACCCAACTGTAAAAATTAGTTAGTTGTCCATTCCATGTACGTTTTCGGTGGATAAATCTTTTGAGAGATGCGTCATTACGTTTGTTAAGACACACATCAAGAAACGGAATACTTAGCTCAGATTCCTTTTCTATAGTGAATTGTAAAGAAGGATGGCAGTTGTTGAAAGCAAACAAGACCATATATATACGATTGTACAGCTTGATAATAAATTCGTTCGTATACCATTCAGCCACTGGAACCCGATTCAATGGCTCGTGAATTCTAACTTCTACCAATTCGTGATTTAGCGCGACCCCAACCATTGTCGTTGGTGGGACATCCATCCACACACGTGACATCTAATTGGACCTCACTGGTCACGACTTCTCACTAGAACTCAGGAAACTCCAACCTGTAGCAAGTCACTAGCGAGCATCAGATTAACTTTCTATAGTTTGGTTTGTAAGGATTAGTTATGTTTACGAGTTGATCACGGATTGATATCAGTTAGAGAACCATTGAAAACCAGGGAGTACTGGACAGCTGCTGTTTCATCCTAGAATAAATTCGTTGTTGAAAAGAGTCTCTTCTCTGAATATTGTGTTCTTAATGCTACACTAGGAATCAACATATATGCGACAGTAGGTTATTTCATTGAACTCAGAACTTAATCACATCTGTTCAAGATGACCCTTGAAGAGATATCGACCAGAATAGGTTCCTAGAGAGAGGTGAACTGCGACAAAAAATAATTGTTCTTTGTACTTTATAAAATAGTTCATGTGAAGTGTGTAAAATTAGAGGTGGTGGTGGTGGTTGGGGCTGGGGTGTATGGAACTATTAAGATTAGTAGTCAATCAAAACATTCTCGAAGATGATGAGAATTTCAATAAGATCAACATTGCCAAAAATTATGTCGAATTAAATAAACAAAGGTTCATAGGTGAAATAAATAATAACAAGTATAATAATCAATAGAATAGAGGACGAATATACAAATTGAATAAACAAAACGCAAAATAAATAGTGCCAAAGTAGTAATGCAGATTATAATAGTTTAGCATATAGATGGATTTTGGCCATGAAAGAGGAGTGGTTGAAACAAATAAAGGTCTGGCTTTCCTGTGTCGACTGCCAAAGCTTCAACATATATAGATGAGTCTGATAGATAATGATTTGGGTGGGGTTTCTTTTGCCTTATAGATAATGTTAAAGGAAGAGGTTGTAGAAATAAGGTGGGTGACCAGTATAGACCAGTTGTTCAATTATTGTGTATCTTATAACCCAGCTTCGAGCTCTTCATAACCACACAGGATAATGTTCCTGCACCCTCTTGGACAAGACCTGCGTCGAATGACTGACATGCCTAGCTCCATAGGAGTAGGTAAACTGGTAAACACTCATAGAGTTGGTCAACTACCGAATCTTTTCCTTCAGGTTACTGAACAGTAACACTAATTTCAACGATGCTGCGAGGAATGTCCTTTTCAGAGGTTGTGGTATCCTTCTTTCTAAGAATGTCGGCAGCTAAGTCCCTTTTGAATTCAATGTTTATATACAACATTACTTTAGATATGTACGTTAAATTACATTTCATTGGTTTAAACTGTATGTTCTTGTCTATAAAATTTGGCGGAAATCCATTTCCATTAGGATATTTCTTAGAAGATTTAACTCTTCCTCCGCAGCATCAGTACTATTAGGCTTCAGTTGGAGGATTTCATGATGAGCTGACATCAGTAAGAGAACCATTGGAGAACCAACCAAGGAGTACTGGACAGCCGTCTCATCATTGTTTTGGACTCTTCAACAGTATACACCCACCGGCGGGGTTCTATACCAGGTTACAAGATGAACTCGTAGACCATTAAGCAGCCACTGGGAACCTATCCAATGGCCAATCCATGAATTCTAACTTGTCTTCTTCGATGAGTTACTGCCTCACTTTCAACCTGCTCTACCTTACTGGTCACGGCTTCCCATTGGAACCATGATGAAATACTCCAACCAATCGAACAAAATCCCTACAAAACCAATACTTGACTATTAGACTTCGTTTTTGATCCAACCGTAAAGATTTGTCTATTGACCATTCCATGATAGCTTTCTATAAATTGATCTCTTCAGGATTCCATCAGGACTCCTTGATAACATCACGTCAAGGAAATTAAAGTTAAACTCGTTCTCCATTTCAACTGTGAATTTTATCGTTGGATGGCAACTGTTAAATGCATTTAATATATGATTAATATTATTACTGTTATGGTACAGCTTGATAATAAATTCGTTAAGAGCAGGAGATCTTTTGACTGAATCAGTTGTTTTGATTTTCTAGCTTCTTTCAAGTCGATTTCCTAGACGGCAGAGGCGCATCACCTTTCTATTCACAGTCGGCATTTATGATAAATATTCTTTCTTTATTAGATTATTTTCTTGTCCTTTAGAATAGTCAACATTATAACCTTTCTCTCTTTCTCATTATTACTATTATTCCCACTAAACTATATTTTATCCAATAGCCCTTTTATTGATTTAAAAATTACCAATCAAGTAACAAAATACTACTTCATAAACACCTAATTTGTTACGTATGACATTTTTCTCAGCTTTACTCACCATCTGGCTGATTGTGATTGACTAGACTAGTTTCAACATAGAACCTTGCACAAAAGTCCACCTCTTGAAGTTCCCATACTCCCCCCCCATATAGTACACAAAGTTAAATAATAGAGAGAGAGAAGATTGAAAAGAATGATAATAAGCAGAAATGGAAAACATGACGGTTAATCGGGTATGGGACATCACAAAGAGTGAATGTGTGTCTGCGACAGTGAGTACAATTTTGACCCATACCGCCAATAGTCATCAGCCATTGATTCTTAGAACCCTGAGGACCGAACTAGGCAGTATATACCTCTCCACTTGGCTCAGCCTAACTGTTAGAAAACTCCATGGATTGATTCCAAGTTTTTACTTGGCCCCCCACTCTAGCCCTTTTCCATTCTAATAGATCCTATGGCATGCGTAACACATGTTCTAATCATCTCGATCGATGTAGTTCCATAACCTTATCGACTGACTTTCCTCTTCCCTATCTAACATCCAATGCGTAACCTCAATATTATTCACCCTATTATACCACCTAACATGGGAGATGGAACTCAAACATTTTTGATCAAAGACAGTTGGCTTTTCATGTTTTTCAGTTTGAATGGCAGTGTCTCATAGTCACAAAGGAGGAGCACAAAGCGGACTGTTGAGCACTACATATATCCTTTTATCGATGGCCAATCGGATATCATATCTTTGCCAGAAATGATACTGTTTGGCAAATGCCACAAGAGTTTTTGATCAGTCATTTGGGGCTGCTGTGACTCCTGAAATAAGTGAAGTTGTCAACACACTCCGCCTTCTTCACTCCGTATCTTTAAGCTAGTAGTGAGTCAATGTAGTGCAGTGCAGTTCTGTAGCATCATCTTAAATTTGACCATCTGTATGTCATTATTTTCTAAGGCGCTATTAAATAGAATTTTTATGAACAGTTGAATCGCTAAGATGAAATGATTATACGCCCTTTGATGAATACTGTACTTGTTATATATCTGATTTCTATATTTAAGAATATTTTGGATATTTGCTTGCTTATAACTTCTGCTTTATTCACGACAATAATTTCTCAGTGTCATTCCAATATAATCTGCTTTTATATGTTTATTTTTCTAATTATTTTGCAGAAAAAACATTCAGTGGAGCCAAATCTTGTTGTTTTGGAATGGTTCATGTGTGCCTATACACGTACCTTACCTTGGGCAGCTGTATTAAGAATTTGGGATATGTTTTTCTGTGATGGTATGCAAAAGATAACGATTTCTTTTTTCTTTTTAATGTTTTATTTCGTGTTTAGTTCTTATGCTTCTCATCTGTTTTATACATATATATATATATATATATATTCCAATGTTCTTTCACGCAGATTTCCTCAGTGATACCACTCAGTGTCTCCGACTTCGCTCTGATATCTGTGGCGAAGACATCCCTTGTAGTTTTATCCTTCATTTTCTGAATGTTAAACTTGAATGGATTACAGTGGCCTGTCTCCAATTGTTCTGAAGTATTTCAGCTTCACCTTGACGCTTCTTTGAACCAAAAGTTGGTATGATCCCACATCTGCTCCCCCTCTCGACTTTATGTCCAGGAGACTAGCTGCGTCTCCACTTCCTTGAGCAGCATTGAGATGAATTGTATCTGATTTGTGATGTGCCCTTCAGGAGGAATCCATGTTGCTTTCTGTATATCCTTATGCTTTTACACTCTGTATCCGATCACCAGATCATTGGAAGCGCAGAAGTCTGCGAACAATTCTCCATTCTCATTCATTTCGCTAAGCGAAAACCTCTCAACCCATGATTAGTTCTCTTCCTGTTTAGTCTGCTCCCAGTTTAGCTTGCATTCATATCGCTCATAAGGATTTTGATGTCACCCTTTGGGATGTTGTCAATTACCGTTTTTAGTTGTCTGTAAAAATCTTCCTTCTTCTGTTGTTTCGAGTTGTTTGTAGCACTATGCGTAGCATTGGATAACCTTCCTCCCTTACTTACTTTGAGATGAATCGCGCTATCATAATCCTGCATAAGGAGATTGGTTCCCACTGCATTAGGGCTTTGGCTGCCACTTGTGACATAATGATAGTCACCTACGTTATCACTGTGCTCGTGGTTGTCGTCTGGCTGACTGGAGTAGATTACTGAATCTCCAGTTGACAATCTTGACAGTCCATATCCATTCTATCTGCTCTCGCAGATTCTGATCACCTCTATATCATACCTTCTCATTTCTTAGGCTAGCTGGGTAGCCCTCCCAGCCGGCTTCATACATCGTACGGACATTCCACGTCCGTCGAGAGATAAAAGACAAATAGGCTGACTGGTATCTCGAGGGCTTTCACCAGCCCTCTGTGTCCTTTCGCCCCTCCGATTCCAGCGAAGAATAAGTTATATATATAGTTTTGATTTTTGAAACAGCCGCATACTGATTTATTTGGTGGATGTTGACTGGCAGTGCAATCCAGAATGCACATTTCGTCCCGTTGGGGACTTGTCGGATGGGTTTACCAGTGTAACGAAAGAAGATAAGAGATTTGGTAACAGACCCTTTCTCAAGGTGAAACATCCCATATTTATATATTTTAGCCACATTTAAGGTTGGCTAGGTCAGGTCATAGTAAATTGTTCTGATTGGTTGTCGATTTTCTGGAAGTTAAACCTTGAGACAAGAAATTGTCCAATGAGATTATCTCCTTCCCGACTACAACGTAAGCTAAATCCAGGTTTAGGGAATAAACAATCCTACTTCTGTAGCTTCTGACTGTAAAAGTTGTTCTCAATTTTGGCTACTTCCTATCAATCTGATTGTACATACTACTGACAAATCTTGTTAGTAGCAAACGTTGCACCAGCAATCCACAGTGAGCAATGATATTCTCACTAAAACTCAAAACCTGCACCCATCATTTCAAACGCATGGGCCTTCGTGGCCTGAATGGTCTAGTGGATTAGTCTTTAGGGTTTGAATTGATGAGCGTTTCGATTCCCAGCAGGAACACTTTTGCTCATTGGGGATTGTAGGTACATCCGCCTAACTATTCCCCAATAAGACGAAAGACATATATCCTGGATTCCACTGCTAGTCACCATCCATCACATAACATCGTGTTAACCTTCATCAACCGTCGAAGTGTCCATACTTAGAGCCGATATGTCAGCAAAGGCCAAATGTTTGTATCCAGTCAGTCAATTTGTACTTAAAAAATTGATTGAGCAAGTTTCAGTTTTGCAGACAAACCACTACTGCTGTCGTTTTGGACGGCCGAGGTTTTGGCATTGCAAGAAGTACAAATAAATACATGCCATTTTTGAAGGATGTCATCCATACAAGTACATGTAAGGCGTTCTCTGAAATAATTTGATTAATTTATCATAAAATATTTAAATATTTTAAATGCATTACTTATCATTATTTTGTCATTTCTGCCTGACAGATTGTTTTTATTATTGATGATCATCTGGTGCATAGCCTTAACTGATAATTCCATATTGGTTGGGTTTATTTTGGCTACATAATACAGAGTTATACAGTAATTCACATGTGTAATATTCATTGAATAAACAACCAATAGGTGTACTGTATCACTCACTAGATAGTATATCGGACTGACTTGTGGCATGTGCTACTGATATGATTTATCAGTAGTATATATAGATAAAGAGATGGTCATCGGCATAAAAACATAAAACAACAAGCAGGGAGATAGATTGAAGTCAGAGAAAGTAAATGATACAGCGTTTCGGAGATACATGTCTGTCTGTCTCGATTCAACATAGAACTTGGCACCAAAGTGCACCAGTTCGAGTTGCCACGTTCCAAATACCACACACACAAAGGTAGACAAGAAGATGAGTGAAGAGAATCAATACAGTCTGACAAGTATAAGAGTGAAACAGAATGGGTAGTGGTAGAAAGGAATATGAAAGATTACAGAGACTGAATACATCTGCGCTGGCCATTGACAACGATTTTGAGCCATGTCACCTATTGTCTCCAGCCATTGATTCCTAGAGTCAGTCCCGAGGGCCCCAACCCGAAAGTCTGCATCTCCTACCCTACCTGACTCAGTTTAACTGTCAAGGATTTCATGGATTGATGAGGCCATGTTTTTGTTTGGCCACCACTTACTCTTTTCCAACCTGCACCACCTATATCAGCTAGTAATGCCCGTCGGGGGAGGCGATGGTTAGCCATGTGCAGCATGTGACCTAGACATCTCAATCTATGTAACTTTTTAGCCTCACTGATTGATTTTCCCTGTTTGCCCAACACTCTACGCCTATCATCAATATTGCTTACCTTATTAAACCACTTAACGTGAGAAAGAGATCGTAGGCATCTATGATCGAAAGCAGTCAACCTTTTCATGTCTTCAACTCGTATTGGCCGTGTTTCAGAGCTATAGAGAAGGAGCGAACTGCTGAGCAGTACACACGTCCCTTGGTTGATAGCCGGATTTCACGCCTACGCCAGAGGTGGCGTAAGTTAGCGAAAGCAGCTCGAGCTTTTTGGATCCGTGCTGATATTTCGTCACCAATCAGTCCGTTGGTACTGATACAACTTCCCAAATAGGTGAAGTGGTCAACATGTTCTATCACTTCACTCCCTATCACTAAGCTAGGAGTTGACGAAGTCCTGTCCTGTAGCAGTATCTTACATTTTACAGGGGTGAATCGCATGCCAAACATACGAAGATTGCTGCTCAAAGTGTTCAGTACTCAAAGTTATCCCTACACCAGCTAATCCTCGTGAACTAGCCGTGACATGGGAGAAGTGAAAGAAACTCAATATGAAGGCCAGAAGCAGCACAACACGGAAGATCTATGCGTCGGTGGCACAGCTGTTAGGACTCTCACCAACTATGCACATGGCCCGGGGTTCGATCCCCTGCCCACGCACGCCCGATATCATTTGTTCGACCTACAAAATTTGGGCTATATCGGTATAGCATGCCGAAAATTCCATACTTGTATCAAAAATACAGTTTGGAATCAAGCTATTATTTTAATTTTCTATAGTTTGGTTTGTAAGGGTTAGTTATGAGTTGATCACGGAGTGCTATCAGTTAGAGAACCATTGAAAACCAGGCAGTACTGTACAGCTGCTGTTTCATCCTAGTTTGGGAATCATCGGGAGTACACACCAACTGCCACGGTTTGAACCCAGAACCTTCCCGTTACAAGGCAAGCTCGTATACCATTCAGCCACTGGGACCCGATTCAATTGCTCATGACTTCTAACTTCTACTAATTCGTGATTTAGCGCGACCCCAACCATTGTCGTTGGTGGGACATCCACCCACACACGTGACATCTAATTGGACCTCACTAGTCCTTTGAAATTAAGGTGTACATAATTTAGCTTTATAGAGATACAAAATTGCAAATAAACATTCCTTTACCAAGTCTCTCGTCGTCTACCGTTACAGACTTATCTAATGTGGAATTACATTCTATTAAGGTGTCCCAATTCTACTTTACTCTATCACTGTCGTATTTATTATTCCCACAGGAATCAAATAAATGTCTTCAGACAGTTAGGACTCGATTATGCGAAACATATTTTTCACGTTGCAGACCATGAGCCACATTTATTGTGTGTCGGGAGACTTGAAGTCCTGTCTGAAAATGGAGTAGTACTGTAGCCGGTGATTCACACCTCCAACCTCTGAAAATTATAAACAGTTATATGAAAATGCTCATCATTGATTACTCCCTGGAAATGTGTCTCGTGTATGTCAATGGTTCTTGCAATTCAAAACTTAAAAGTGAAGATTGGTGAAGCTGATACTCAACGCACCACCTGTTTTTTTGTATTCATTATTATTAATCACAGGTTCCAGGTGGAACATAGAAAACATCTCTGTTTCACTCTGTTTCCTGTAGTCCTTTATAGCTGGCTCTACGACTGTACATAGACTTTCATCTCTTCCTCACACAATCTCCTCTATGTTACTTTGTTTTTCTGAGCTGGATGGTTAGTTTGCGAAGCTTTCATCACCTTACTGGGTGACATCTTCAGCGCATACTTCAATTTGAACTCTCCGTGTTTCCTGTTTGGGTTCCACTCTGTGGTATAATGTCCTTCAATGGTCTTCTTAGCTTTTGTCCAATCCATCCCTATTTCTTTCGGCATATTTGTTGAGCGATTGGTTTTGGTTGGGTTCGTTGACAGAGTTCCATATGGCTTATTTTTTGTGTCTGGCAATCTGATCTTCAACAGCAACCGAAGTTAGCTGTTGGTGA